AAAACAAAACAAAACAAAAGAAATCATTTTTGATCACCATTTTGTCTTCAAGTGAAAATCAAAGTTATGAAACTTATTGCACATCTAAAGGACGCTCGCAAACATTCAAAAATATGAATGGGCCACTGTAAAAAATGTGTAAACAGGAGGTTAGGAAACCAGGTTTTTGCACATATTTGATACTCTCTGACCCGAAATCGACCCAAGGTTGAAAACTAAAATTCCAAAACCTTACTGTACATCTACAGGACATCACCAATCATTTTAAAAGATAATTTGGTTATGCTAAAAATGTAAGAGGAGTTTAGGGAACCATGTTTTTGTACAAAACGACACTTTTGACCACAAATTGCCCCCAAGGTGAAAATTGAAATTCCAAAACCTTACTGCAGATCTACAGGGCATCACGAATTATACGACGGCTGTTCGGAAACTATTGAGACACTGTGTTTATTCAACTTTCTAATGAACATCTTTTTGGTAAAATTGGAATATGCACTAACGATAAATAAAAGCAAGAGTATTCTAATATTTTTTTTCTTTTCTGTCAATGAGTCAATGGTAGGGATACCCGGCGCAGTCATGAAATCAGAAAGGTTCCGGTGGACCCGATTTTGAGTAGCGCTGAGGAGAACTCCTGCCCAGAGAAAACGGCCTGCTAAAACATTAACTATGCGCAAGAACATGTCAATGGTTTGTTTTTTATTGATATAATCATCAATTAATACGGACTAAATAAGTTGACCTGCGGTGCAAAAGTCGGTACTGTATGATGCTAGTCAAACTGTACACGACACTTCATGTAATTTTACATTGGGGTAGCAAACAACTCAAATTTAACTATTTTTAAAGAATCGTTTAAGAAAAATTTTGATTTATAGAATGTTATAAAAGTGATAACAGAAAAAAGAAGAGTTAACTCTTCCCGACAGTTTCAAAAAATGAGAAAAAATCTAAGGCCGACGTGACGTTAAAATGACATAGCGATACTGCTCCAGGTCAATAAACATTTGCATGTTTATAATTTCACCAGTACTTATCTAATGAATTTATTACTAGTAATAAGAAACTTTGCACATATGTATGTTTTATTTGTTGTTTATAAAATGTTGACGAATTTTCATGAATTTATCTCTTTCCTTAATGGAGAACTATCTCAATGATTTCCACACAGCCGTCGTATTTCAAAAGATGAGTTGGCAACTGCAAATAATGCAAGGGAAGATTTTAAAACCAAGGTTCTTTAATTGTCCCCAGTGTGAAAATCGAAATTCAAAAATCTTATTGCGTATCTAAAGGACACTCCAAATCATTTTCGAAAAGATGAGAAAGCTATTGCAAAGAATGTTTAAGGAACCTGGCTTTTAGTTGAAAAAACGAGGGGGATATCCATTTGGTCCCCATGGTAAAATTTCAATCTTTTCGAACACGTTCAAGGCACCACCAATCAGGTGACCAACCATATTCCACACAGCTTGAAATGTAAGAATAGTTTGGGGAAGAAGAGTGACAACAATGTACCCGAACTTTCTATAGAATTGCAGATCATATTATTTAGCTGAATAGTGAAGGTGCATTTTTATGACATCTAAATTTTGAAAAATTGTTTATAATTTTCATATTTTTTAAAATTGAAATTTAATTTACTTTTTTCTTAGTCAATCAGATTTCAGGAAACCTGCTGTCTTGTATTTTCTATGAGATTTTTTGAATAATTGAAAAATTGAGATAGGGTACTGATTCTACCAGGAATTTTAAACTTTATCATAGGAACCACATGTATATTATGCTGTTTTGTCTTTATCCCTGCGTTTGTCACCAGAGGTGAATTGAACAAGACCTCCAAGGGCCTTAACGGTCACCTGAGTATAATACAATCCTACAAAGGATCCACCGAATGGCAAATTGATACTGTCTGACAAACGGGAAGACATTCGCTTTTTAATCGCAATATTCCCTTATTTATGTAGTAATATTCCAAAATAACCTGCATATTGTGTTTCTGTTCATTCACCTTTTTTCTGTCACACATTCCTAAATCTTCAAGTTGTCTTATTATCCATAATTGTCTATTGTCTGCCGACACCTAAACACGTTTTTGTTGACCACAAGTTTTGGTATATCCCCTTTATGACAGCGTCCTAATTCTAAATCGTCTAAAGTTTCTCCGATTTTTAACGTGTCCAGATTGGTCTCTGAAATACCTTGCAATCGAGCACTGACTGAAATATATTTCTGATGATGCCAATTCTTTCAAGGGCATCTTGATGAATGTATCTGTTATTTGTAGTAAGAAAATTTATATAATACTATGTTTGTGTTATTTTAAAACTTTCAGTTTATCCATGTCTGTTGTTAATATTCAGTTGGCTGATAAACAGTCATATCTTATTCCGTTTTTCTGCAAATGTTCATCGATTAATAAATACTTGCATCACGACAAATTGATTGCAATGCAGTACGTCACTGTACTAAAAGATAACACATTTGTAAGCAAATAACTTTTTGCTCAATTTTTTTCTGTAACATAAACAGTTGTTAAATATTGCTTTTCCTCATTCGTCATTTGAAAAATAAAGATATGGTCGGTATGAAAAAAAGGAACCTTTACCATTTCAATGATATTTTGATACGATTATTGTGATGTTTCATTTGAATATGAAAATTTTAATTGGTTAAGAAATTGTGTCATTTCAATATTGTTCTTCTGTAGGTACACTCATCTAATTGTATTAATTGAATTAAATACTCGTATACTGAATTGTCGAACCAAAAATTGTCTTATGAAAATAAACATTTATTGGTACAATAATTTTTTTTATATGCAAAATTTTTATATAACTTGAAATAAAGGTTAATTTACAGTGCAATTTTTATCCCTTGAGGTGCCCATTAAATTTAGGTTGTTTGCTTTTATGGGTGTTTTAACATTTATACCTTTGGCTGGGCTACTTTTGTCATCATATTGATATATCATTGTGATTAATCATACCTATGTTATGTGACTAGTCGGCATTTAAATTGTATGTTTTAAACTTTAACTAGTCAGTTTGTCGCATTATTATGATTTTGTTTTAGCCCAGCCACTTTGTTGTTATGTAAGTTTCTGTAATATGTAAATATATTTTTTGTCATTTGTTAGTTTTAATAAATAGCATTTTCGCACTACAGTAAATGCAAGAAGCATTATCACAATAGGTCTTCTTCTATATAATTAAGAAATAAAATGAAAGATTAACAACCTATAGCTATGAATCGTTTTAAAATGAAAAAAGACACCCCCATGATTTAACAACAGAAATTTAAATAATCATAATTTATCATGGGGATATTATGTACCTTCGTACATACGTGCATATGACAAATTAAGTCCAGTAAGATTTCTCGTAAATACGTCCTCGTCTTGCTATATATATTGAGATACTTCCATTTTTTCTTTTAGTTCTAGAGTAAAGTTAAATTGTTTCATTAAGTAGAAAGGAAATATAGTTGTAAGATTTTAGAATACACAAGATGAAATGTGAACATAACGAATAGTTGTCATGCTAAAAAATCCAGTTAAACAATAAATTAAACTTGTGAGTAGAGCAGACATAGACCTCTGAAAACATCAAATATTGAATTGGGTGCCATATAAAAGTAAGCACCCCCTATCGATCGGTTACATACACAGTGTGTCTTCTGTCATGATTTGGTAAACGGATAAATCTGAAACAATTCAGAATAAAAATAATCACAATTTGTTTAAATGACATCAGTCAACATTCGAAATTTTGTAAACAAGGTCAATTTATTATTCCATTGTTGATACCCTTGTAACATCAACTTATTTGTCTGTAGTCTGTCGCGCTTTAGAAATTCCTCTTACCTACAACATTATCTTGCCTATCATAAATGCTACTCATTAATGCAAACATCATTTTTTCGTTTCAAATAAAACTTAATCTAAATCAAGGGAGTCAATTGGTGAGAGAGAGAGAGAGAGAGAGAGAGAGAGAGAGAGAGAATCTACAATAAAAAAAACTTTTTTGCACCGTGTAGACTACACTGACTTCAGCGTACCTGCTAAGTTTCAGGAAAATGTACTATCTGGGTATTTTTATTGACCTTTAATATAGGATTGTATAGGGAAAGGCTTTATCGCACTTCAAAGCAAACTGTAAAAATAATATTACATAAGTTTTGCTCAAATTATAAAATGTTATGAGTAAATCTATACATTGTATATTGTGCATTAAATATACGAAACAGATAATTCAACAGTCAGTTTATAGAGAGGGATCTCAAAATGTTAAAAACTACAAAATGTTCCTGCTATTATGGAGTACTACAAAATATTAAATATTCTACAAATTTGTATGATAATAACTAAAGCTAATTTTGAGATTCTTTTAATTCCTGTGTTTAAAATTTCAAGTGCACATGCTTTATACTTTTTCTTTCATAACACTTTTTATGACCTCCTCTTAAAGAACTTCAGCGTATCATAACGTCATGAACGCACCATACCGATATACCTATCAGTTGTAAAATCGTTAAAAACTAGTTCTTTTAAAGTTCTTTAAATATGTAAATAAAACTTTTTTTCCTTCTTAATTTTGATATATTTGATAAGCAATGATAATACAATGGCTTTTAAAGTGTAAATACGCTTTAATTCTATTAACAGCACAAGGTATTGCTCAATGAGAACCCAAGTTGAGCCCCTAACTTAAGGATATGGAAAAATACATTGTTGCGTAGTTTCGTAATGATACATGAGACTTTTTGAAATGTGCGATATGAATGTGTACACATTGTTCAACCATTAGTATAAGAGTTGGGCTTTGAATAATCTGAATGAAGTTTACAAGAAACTGTTACTTAGGGCGTATTGGATTGCGAAGCTAGAATATAACACTACAAATGATGTATGGATAATCACAAATTATTTAAAACAATGCAGAAAAAGCGTTTTGAGAACAAATGTATTTTTCTTTCAAAGACAAAATAAAAAAAAAAAACATTAGTAAATACATAAAATGTTTACATAAAAAAGTATAAAAATCGATGAAGTAATCTTGAACATTCGATTCCCTTTCTCTTGAACATCCTGGTGGCACATTTCTGAAATTAAAACATATGTTAAGTTGAAATCATCAATTTTGCGATCAATGTGAATTCTCTTACTTACTCGTAGTGATTATATATATATATATATATATATATATATATATATATATATATATATATATATATATATATATATATATATATATATATATATATATATATATATATATATATATATATATATATATATATATACACTGAACCAAACTTCTACGTGTTCACCTAACATTTTTTATGTTTTAAAAAACAAATGCATATAATAAATAATTTCTTTAATTCATGGTTAATGATGCATATTTCAGTTCGATGTTGCGTAAATTTCGTGTAAGTATCTCGTCAGAATTTAAGCAAAGTGTCAAGGACATGATGTACCCTCAAAATGAAAATTCACATAAAATAATCTCTAAGGAATAAGACCACCATTCGCTTAAATTACTGCAAGGCATATTCTTTTCTCATGGATACCATGTACCCCTGAATAGGATATTGACCCATCTGCTGCCACACCTACTGCATGGATCTTTCTAAACCGTTGAAATTGTGTGGAGGGGGGGGGGGGGGCGTGCTTTGACATTCCTGACAAAAATCCCAAATGTATTCAATAGGATTCAGATCCGGGAATTTGACAGTGCATCATCACAGATACCTTTTGGTCAATATTCTTGGGCGTTTCGCACGTAAGTGTACCTCTTTAAGGATGATTCAGACTGTTTGAGATGATATTAGACTGCCACCAGCACCAATTTCTTATCATTTTCTTACCATTTAAGTCGTTTGTTTTAATGTTTCTAAAATTGTTTCAGGACAATGTAACAAACTTTTAACCTAGTTGTGATGCGAAACGTTGGCCTCAGACGAAGATCCAGATCACTTCCGGTTTGATGAAATTTTGTCCAAAACTTTCAAATTGTGACAAGTTGGCGATGAAAATGACGCAGAACTTATAGAAAAAAGTGTTTAAATGGGTTTTTATACTTGTTGTTAATTTTTAAAAGTAATATCAAGGACAAACTAGAAAACATTGATGTAACCATCAATTGTCGCCCGGGAAATAAATAAAGTAAACAATGGAAATGAGTCTTGATCATCAACCCGCTTCGATATGTGTGAAAAAGACATGCGTCTAAATGATGGAGACGATAGTCGAGAATATTTTGAAAACCTATAGTCGGATGAAAATCGAACAAAAACGATACCCTTTTAAACTTTATCAATTCCTCAAGTAAATGTTGGCTGCATAAAATATAAATTGAAACCAGACACATGCATCACCTATTTTCAAAAATTTCTATCACTTTAAGAATATAAAACACGAACTGTGTAAAGTACGTTTTTACGTTTTTATGCGATAAGTAAAATTCGATGTTCTAAAAAAAGGGACCTGTCGTTTTTTCGATAGTAAATGATAAGCAACTTTATATATTAAATATGAAAAATATATATATTTTTACAGATTCACTTTATGGAAGTAAATATATTGTGTATCTCGTAATTTATAAAGGGAAAGAACATTCTGATTAACAATCTTTTTAATGTTTAGAAAACCTTTAATTCTGAATAACTTCTCCCACCTCAATCCCCATATACCAACACTTAAACTTATATGTATAGAGCAGCCCGGTCCTCCGGGCTGCAATAAACACTAAAATAAAAGTGAGTAAAACATGGTGCAAGGATGATCCGGATAACAACATTCCAACGGCTCTCCCTCCTTTCTCAATGGTCATTTTGCCAATGTTTTATGTTTTTTAGTTAAACCAGTTTTCAAAAATTGAAAATGGTCACAAAAAGATGCTGATCACACAAAACACTTGCCACAAAATACAGATTTATTGTTTTTACGCTTCGTCACGGTACATTGGTTTTCATCGGTGATAATTGATTTTCTTTCAACATTTGTTGAGAAGACTCGTTGGTTATACTAATTTGAAAACATCATTCCATTCTATCTTGTAGTTTTTAAATAAATACTTTTATTAGAGTGAACACTTAGAAGTTTTGTTAAGTGAATATATATATATATATATATATATATATATATATATATATATATATATATATATATATATATATATATATATATATATATATATATATATATATATATATATATATATATATATATATATATATTAGGGATGGCAATCGAATACTAAATTGCCAATCGGTTAACTGCAAGACGTTCCGACCGATTAATCGGTTAATCGTATAAAAAATTCTCGACATATTTCTTCATTGTAAGCTCTATAAAAAATGTTACATATAGTAAATAAATATTACCGGCATGTCTATAATTTATCAGATGTATACATTATTTCATTATACATTATTTTAATTTTAATAAGCCAAAGAAAAAAAACAAAAAAAAAAAAAACAAAGGGAGAGAAAGAAACCCATGGGATATACCCGAAGTATATCAGATACATTACAAAAACATTCAGAAGAGGTGCTGTGCAAATTCATTCTAAATTGTCACCATTATCAAAACTATCGCTTAATTTACAATGTTTGTTTAATAATACAATATGATAAGTAACGGCAAAGGATAGAAGAGGTATGTTAAACATTATAAAAAGTTTGCAGTACTCAACGATCATTTAATTTAAATAATTAAAGAAACACGGGTATCGACATGGTGTTTACAAAACAATTAACATCTCAAAAACTGACTAATTACCCCCATGGTGTCCCTCTGTATAGCCTAAATTATCTCCGAATCAGCTTAAATAGGTAGGTGAAAATGTTAACATTTCAGATATTTTTGATGCATCTTTTTAAATGATTTTTTTTTATGAAATTGTGTTCAGATTTACACATATATTAATTTTTTCCGACAAACCAATTACAGATTTTCTAACCGATTATCATCGTTCCGACCGAGTAACCGGTTAACCGATTACAAATTGCCATCCCTAATATATATATATATATATATATATATATATATATATATATATATATATATATATATATATATATATATATATATATATATACTCACAAAAAGTTTTCCTCTTCCCTACGTTTGATTTTCATCCAAAATCAAACGTGAAAGCTTTTGAAGAATTTCTGTTAAACTTTCATGCTGACTTTGTAACTGAAATGGAAAATTAGTTTTTTTATTATTATTATTTATTGTCTTTCCATCATATGTTCTGAGATAGAATAATAATGTTAAATAATTTTTATGTAGACAGATCTTATTATACCCCCCCCCCCCGAAAATTTTTGCTTCATAAAACTGGCTCCAGGGAAGTATTTCCCATACACGGAAATCGCGTTCAGTTTCCCGCTTTTCCTTTTCCCCAGAGAGTAATCGTAACCTTCTGTATTCAATAAACTACATTAATTTTAAATACTAGTACAAGGAAAATAAAAACTCCATCTTGTTTTCAGCATTCATTTATCCTAACAGTGTACGCATTCTCCAAATGTGTTTTTTAGCCAATTTGTAACATATCGTCAGAGTTGTGTCCAAATTCTAGTTATATCATTCTATTAAATTTTTTGTAAATGTATATCGATTAAACATTATCTCTGCACTAAATGAAGACAAAAGTACTCACATTTAGCATACTTTTATACAGAAAACCTCCAGCTTCTCCCCTTAACTTTATATTTTTCTTGACCACGTTCTTATGGGGGCTAATATGTTTTTTCACTTTCACTTTAATCGTGTCACATTTTCCCAATGATTGCAACGTTCTGAAAATCCATAATCGTCTATTGTCTGCCGATACCCAAACATCTCTTTTCTTAACCACGCTAATTTTCGGAATGTCCTCTATCCTACATCGTCCAAGTAATATGTCGTCTACAGTTTCGCCAATAGATTTTTCTGTGTGTGCAGAATGTTCATTGAAGCTGCTTGCAATCGTACACTGGCTAAAGTATATTTCCGAAGGATTTAACTCTTTTTCTGGCATCTTGGTAAATGATCTTAAAACATGCAATGTGTACCTTTTATAGTCGATCTATTCCTTAAGATAAAAACGGTTTTCCAAAGTCTATTTTAGGAAATGAAAATCCACGAATATGTTTCTATTGGCAGATAGCCATATTTTCTGATTTCAGAAAGTAGAACTCAAAGTATATTATGTTACGTAATACAGGTACATATATTATCAGCACACTGAAATGATAGCGGGTATTTCTGTTTCTTTCCTTCTTTTAAAAGGTTTCAAGTTTCTGTTGGAAGTGCTAATCATTAAATTTTAAGTAAAACTTAATAATCAAGCTACTTTGCACGAATTGTTATGTTTTCTTATGTTATGGAATATAAGTCAGTAAGTGCCATCCTTACTTTTTCGTTCATTTTAAAATACATATATCTTATTTCTTATGTTTATCTTTCGATTTTGATTTGTGTAACAAATAAAATATTGCACTTTTTAGACTGATCTACCAACTTCATGTCATTAAGGATTGAAATGCCACTTTCGTTAGAATTGTCATATAAGAAAAGACATTAGGAAATGTAAATATATGAACCCTCATATTTATAGCTGCACCTTTCTTTAGATATGTTTTTTTCAATTTCTTTCAGTCTCTTTTTATAATATTGAGGGATTCAACATTGAATAAATTGATTCTAAATTCTCAATAGTTTGTATTAAAAATGTATCTCTATATCTTATACTTACCTGAATATATTAATTAAGTAATGGAACTTAAATGTACTTTCATATTTTGAGATGACATTTTTAAACAAAACGAAAGAAAATACTAATCAATACCCTGTGAAACGATTTTTCGAAAACGTTGTCCCACTTTAATATTTCGTTATCGATTTATAAAATGTATTTATGCCTAGAGCAGAGATAGTAGAGTCTAAATTTTACAACCAATATTGTTCTTAATCAGTCATGATTTTAAAAAATAATGCTAAGATCTTTTTGATTGTCGCTTTAAATACAAGTACACATTTAAAATGTAAAACAAAATTTAAGTTATATACATATGTGAATTTTAATCACCCTAAATGAGTATATAGATATTTAATTTCTTAATACATAGATTTATGGAAAAACTTAAATCGGAAAAAACATAACATTCTGATTGAGGCTCTGGGAACTGGTAAGAAATGCATGAAAATTACAAAGATTTAAATATTACTTTTAACGCCTTAGTAGATATTTACTCTTTCATTGCTCTTTTTCTAATTCATTATGTTTTTAATTGTTTCATCATCTTTATGCAAAAAAAGTGACATATGAGTAAAAAAAAATTCAAATAAACACTAAAAAAGTCTTTTTGCTTCAGTAACAAAAATTGCATAAACAAAACCTAAATAACAAACTGATTCATTAATTGTCGTAAATGGAATTTACCTTAGCTATACCTACTTATTTGTCTTTTTATAATAATTATTATATTTAGAAATTTCTTTCTAGAACGTATATCTAACAATGATCTATTGTTACAATAGCGTCTTCACGGCTACGTTTCTTTCTTTGACAGAAAATTAACTTGTAAGAATTATACAATGTAGAAAGGTTTTTTCATTGACATGTCATTGTTTTAGATTAACTGAGTTTATCAAAGTTGAATTATAATCTTGCTCTAGTGTTCCCAACTGTCTCATTGGCTCAAATTGATCACATGATTAAGTGTTAAAATATCACATAAACTGGATGGTTCTGTTTTTTTAACTTCTAAAATACCTTATGAACCTGCTGTTTTCAAAATAAGAAACAATCTTCTGTGAAACAACATTAGTTATGACGTCACAATATTTAATTAATTTTGTAATTGTGATATCATAATGAGTATAACATAACAATACTTCATACTAGAAACTTTTAAGTATTATAATTATGGATTTTTAAGACATTTCCTATTAAGGAAGCTCTAAACACTAATGAAAAATGCTTTTTGGACTTTGAGAAAAATATATCATATTAAGGTGCACATATTCAGTGTATCTAGTTCATTTTCAGCATAGGGTACCTGCCTTATTTTTGCAGAAAAAATGTTCAAAGACAATGAACTATTTGTGAACAGAAATCACTGTTGTTTACTTGCATCTGGGAAAATAATGGAAATAATGTATTCAATTACTTAATCTTGGTCTAACATAACATTAAGAATACTTTAATTCATAAGAAATTGTGTCATTAAATGTAGATTCCCATTTATTCTATTTTTCTTCTAAGGTTACATTTGCTAACAATGAAATATATGGAGACAACGAACAGTATTCAAGCTCAAAAGTCCATTAAACAATACAAAATAGGAGAAGAGCAAACACGGACCTCTAAACATCAGAGGTGGGATCAGGTGCCATGGAGGAGTGAGCATCCCCTGCCGACCGGTCACACCCGCCGTGTGCTCCTTGTCATGATCGGGAAATAACGGAAAAATCCGTCGACAATTCAGTGTGTAAATAATGGCCTAACAATTAGTATGAAAAACGTCAGTCAGCATTTGACTCAATGATAAATTGTATTTGCTGACAAGGTCATTGTATCGACCATAGAACTTACGAAATGATGACTTTAAACGAGACAGCTGATATTCTTGTTTCATCAACTTGTTTGTCAATAATTTACCTCGTTTTAGAAATTGTACATACGTAGAGCATGCTCTTGCGTATCGAATCAACTGAGAGATATATACCCCGTATGCAGGTGATGAAGGTATATTGCTACATAAGTAAGGGAAGTTGACGATTGAAAAGTTAAAGTCATCACGTTTATCATAAAGCTTGGTTGTTAGATTACCATTAACGTCTTTCTCAAGTAAAATATCCAAATATGAAACAGATGTGTCAGACTCTGTGGTATCTTTTATCTCAAGCTCACCAGGATATATCGTATCGACATAAGTATGGAAATAGCCATTGTTAATTGACAATACGTCGTCGATATATCTAAATGTCGAGTTGAAGGCCACAGCAAGTGTTTCTTCTTTTCACGTACAAGATTTTGGACAAATTCTGCTTCATATGAATACAAAAAAAAGGTCTGCTAATAACGGGGCGCAATTGGTACCCATGGGAATTCCAATAGATTGTTTGAAGACCTGGTCTCCAAAAACCACATAGATATTGTCAATCAGAAACTCAAGCATCTTTTTGATGTCAAGTTCAGAGTACTTGTGTGTACAATCAGAATGTTTTTTAGCAAAATAATTTTGCAAATGACCAATGACAAGGTAAGTATATTTACGAGTTCCATTTTTATTGAAAAAGCAGCTGTCAATGATATCAAAAAGCCTGGACTTTAATTTATAGTGTGGAATGGTTGTGTATAACGTAGAAAAGTCGTAAGTTTTTAAGCTGTTGATTTTGGTAAAATCTTGTGATTTCAAATTTTCCAAAAGTTCCTTGGAATTTTTAAGTATCCACATCTGATTTACACCACTTCACGAATATATTGTTGAACAGTACTCTTGAAGTTTTTCCTTCACCACTGTTAATATCTTGGTGAGGAGTAAAGAAAGAGGCTTGGTTGAACATTTACTGGAACCCGCTATGTAACAATGTCATAATAACACACAAACGGCTTTGACCGTTCGATAGGGAATTTTTGCTCCTCCGTGGCACCTGATCCCATGTTTGTTCTTCCCAGGTGTCCTTGCTTTGCCCTGTTTTTTTTTTTTTTTTTTTTTTTTTTTTTTTTTGTTTGTTTGTTTGTTTTTTGTTCTTTTTTTTTTGTATCGTTTACAGGATCTACGAGATTACTTACAGTTGGATGTTTTAACCTATTTCATTTAGCATTTTACGACATTTTTATATTTATTAGACTGAGTATTCGTCTGATATCCAAAATTGGAGTATAATTATTAATTATGAAATATTTTTCATTCAATAATACAATTCTTTGACGTACAGATTTGTAGTAATAATATATGAAGTTTCAAAGAAGTATTCTGTAGTTTTTGCTGTTATAAAGTGTACATTTTACATAATAAGGAAACTCTAGGAAAGAGTTTCAATTATAAAGAGAACAGAAGAGCACATTTCTAAGATGCCTGTTTCTTATGACATACTCACCACTCATAAGCGGCTGTCTGCAAAAGGCGTATCATACAAAATTCTGATCATCTAGCATTATTATTCAACATCGATAAAACTGTACAACTTACTAATTATCGTTATATAGCAATCACAAAGCATGTTTTGATTATGGTCAGATTACAATTCAATAAAACAAATGAAAGAGAAAAACCATTTTCAATAGGGCTATTTCATTCTCAAAGTTTGAGTCGGTCTCAGGAATGTTTGGGCAGCTGGACCGTACGTATCGGAAAGCTGGCCGAAGTACTGGGAAAAATTATCGAAATATAAATGCCTATGCATGGCTGCTATCGTCGAATTATTCTTTCCTCGACTTGAAATTTAACCGCTTAATCAGTTAATGAAAGTACCAGCGGTAAATATATTATAAATCTTAAAAGTATAGAGATTATGTGACATGTTTCCTTACCGCTGAAACTTTCATTAACTGATTAAGCGGTTACATTTCAAGTCGAGGAAAGAATAATTCCCATCCCTATTGCACACAACAAAATATTCACATTAAAATTAAAACAATAACGTTAAAATACCGAATTTTATGTTTAATTTGTATTTATTTATATTCCTGTGGTTGCAATACAAAAATTACAAAAAAAAAAACTTACAATAAGAACAAATATTCAAATTAGCAAGCCAGCAAATGTCATTGATCCCGATATAAATTACATCACTTCCGTTACGCACGCACTCACACACACACTCATATTAGCGCGTTACTATATTCCCTCCGACTTCCTTGTGAGGGGATAAATATAATACAATTAAAAACTAGCAAATACAGAAGACACTTTAATTAAATGTAAAATAGAAAGATAAAGTTTCTAATAAGTTATCAACCATAAAAAATAAACAGTCTATCTGAAATCATATGCTAATCTGAGAAGTC